GCAGGAATGTTCTCATTGGGTAGCACTGAGCAGTTCTAGGAGAAATCCCCCACAGTGTGTTCAGTGACCTTATCAGTAGCAGAATTAAAGCTCTAATCATTTTGAAGATGCTGATGCCTGTCATCTGCAAGAACATTGATTTGAAAATGAACCACTCCCGCATGTACAACAAAGCAACATTCAACTATGTTGTCATCATGGTTTCCAGTGGGGTGGGCACAAGTTGTGCACCTTGACCCCCTGGGAGCTGATGGATCTGGGCTGGATACAGTATACGCCCTCAGGCAAACACTGGTATAGTGCAGAAGAAATTGTAAGGGATACCATTTCTCAAGGTCAGTGACTAACCTGGTTTAATGATGGAGGAATTGGTCTTCCAAGCCTTCCTGGGCATATGTTGATTATCAAATGGTAGCATACACTCTACATCAGTGTCAAATGTGAGTCCTGTTAGCCCAAAAAGAGCCTCTGTTGAATATGTTGTTGCTGTAGCATAATGAAGAACCTTGAAGATGCTGACCTAATACTGTTTATGCTGCAGGAGTTTGACACCTGGTAGCCCAAAGCTGCCATACTTATGAGGTTAGTGATTTCCCTTCCCTGCTTTTTGGACTGTGGTTTCAATTTTTTTCTATACAATACCCTGCTGTTTGGTTCCAAAAGAGATGCAGGTTGCAGAAGAGAAAGCATACCATCAGAGGAGACAGATTCAGCTGAAGATGCAAGTCTATCTTTCAGTAAAGAGCCTAATATTTAAATCAAGGAAATGAAAAGGAGGCAAGATAAAAAGCAAATAGATGTCAAGCAGGAAAACCGTCCATTCCCTTCTCCAGTGTGAGTGTCCCTTCTCAGTGGGATCATTGCTAGCTTTATGCCATGACCCCGCTCAAGCATATAAAGGGCTTTTTGTATTTAGAAAGCTGGTTTTCCTATGATCTGGAATTTTTTTATGGCTCCTCTCAAATCATTCCAAGAGCTTACACTCAGCAATGTAACATGTTTCGTTCACATTACTAGATGCTGAAATGAGTGGAAATTTTCCAGGTTCCCTTCACTGAAGGTAATTATGGTTAAGTTTAAGCAGAGTGCAGATGAATTAGGTTAATGTAAAGGCACGGCCAAAACACAATTGAGACACAGATCATTGCCTTTGCCGTGTAGCCATGCAGGGTCTCCTAGGTGCTAGTTCTGCTTTATTCTGCTGTGAGTGGAATGTCCACATACAAACTTGTCATTCAAAGTTATTGGTTGCTTCATTGGTTTTTTGAGATGGGGGAATTCAAACATTTCTATAAGTATTAGGTCAAAATCTTGCCTGTCCTGTTTGGTATCATGTTGGTGCCATGTGTTTCATTGTCACAAATAAACGGCGTTGAATAGTAAAATCTCTGTCAAATAGGAAACACTTAAGAGTCACTTCCCACCCATGGTAGCTTATTATGTTTTTGAGGGACACACATAGATATGTCACAGGGAGTGGCATTATTTACAGCCCATGGTCAACTTTTTTCTTAAAAGCAAGCTATATATTGCTCCATATGCACCAAAGGCTTTCCTTCCTACAATTGCCTTCTTCCCCTTCTGGTGCAGCCCACCAGCTCCACGTGTTTCAGTGTTGCAGACTAATTTTGTATTTACTGTATGCTGTACTTAAATGTTAATCCTACTTTGATGTTAACCTGGTAAAGGGGAGATTTGAGGCTGCAAAAACTCTGTGTGATAGTTTTACATGGGAAGGTCCGTTTATATGGA